ATTGAGAGATGCAGACTAAAACTAAAAACACCGCAATGATGGGAACAATGACAACACAACTTCACTCAGAGTATCAGATGTATTTATGTAAAAATTAATATATTAATTGACTTATATTGTTCTTATTACAATATACAAAACAATATGTGCAAAACTAAATTTAATAGTATTTTGAATTGATTTCACTTAAAATTTCCTGTTAACAAATAAAACAAGTAAAACCTCATAGTTATAAAGATAATGCTCTTAATTCTAGATTTTTTGTGTATATACTGTTATATATTTATATAACACTATAGACAATATTTATATAATTATATATTTTTGTGGATGATGTTTTTGCTCTGAATATTAAAATTAGAAAGGACACATTGTAATGTACAGAAAAAAGGCTTTGTGTGTCTTTGACCTGTTGACCAAAGTGAGGTCTACACACATTCATATTGTCAAACAGAACATTAAAGCTGCTCATGCTGCTTTGCTTCTGTGCAGCTGACTTACTGATCATTGGCCAGTATATATAGCTCCACTAACCCTATTTACAAGTTTGTATTACCAATCATGATCATTTCTGATTCTGAGGAAAAAATCTTTTTTTAATGACCCTATGTTTACAATGTAAACATCAACACATTTTGAATCACCACAGAGCGGTTCAAACAATGAGAATATTTGTCACATCAGAACATGTATACAGTAAGAGCTGCTTCCCCCCAACAACTGAAAACAATGGCCATTTTTAATTGATTTCATTGCAAATAGATTTTGAATCAATTATTGATAAAGTGTCTGCAAAGTTTATTCTCACACAATTCTGCAGTTCTACAAGCCGAACTGTAAACATGAAAAGTAACTGGAAAAAACAACTGCAGCTAAGACCAGCATTTAAAGGTTCCTTCTTTCCCTCCTTCCTATCTTTTCTTCCTTCCTTCACTCCTTACCTTCCATTATCTTTTCCTTTCCCCCTTCCTCCTTGCTTTATCCATCTGTATCCTGTCTTTCTAGCCTTCATTCCTTTCATTCTTTCACCCTCTTATCCATTACACACCACCCTCCAAAGCATGTACACACACACACACATCTCCAGCCTTTTATTTACAGAGCTTGCCAAGTGTGTGAGGAAGATGAGTGGAGAGAAACCCTGAGGCATTGTGCACTGAGCTCCTCTCTGTGATGTACCACAAATTAACCCATGTGTCTAATTCGCTAACGGTACATTTGATTGGATGCCGTGAGTGTGGAGATGGTGGGTGGTGGCCAGCATCGGCCTATCCCAGAGCAGCATTCCCTTCAGGCTGTCAGCGAGCAGCATTGCCATGGTGATGTCATCTTCAAGCTGTGAGCCCACCTCTGTCAGACAAAGCATACTGGTTACTGGAAGAGAAGAGAGAGAGATTGATGATGAATCTGATGATCAGGCTACAACCCTCCAGCAAACTGATGCCAGATTTTCGTTCTGATCACAACCTCTAATCAGCTTCATACACATTCTGCCACAAATAGATCCCACATGACTTCAGGTGATCAGGCTGTTGTTTTCAGTTCAGATCACAGATTTTTTTTGTCATTGATTTATTGTAAAAATCTTCATCTGCAAGAGGAGTGAAAAGCTACAAACACGACACAACATTTCTCTGAAGGTAAAAACAAAACATTCAATCAGCTGGAAATTACTCCATTTCAAAGTGAAGGATAAAAGAAATAGTTACATACCATAATAACAGATTACAGTGTTAACACGAACAATTAAACATAAATGATGGTAAATTTACAGCAGCAATAACATGAATATCACCATATCACTGCTGACTGATAATAATAATAATAAACAATAATTGTCTGCATATTGATTTTACAGTCTTATTGTTACATATTGACAGATCAGTTGACAGGCCTCATGTTGATATTTTTCATTCATGACCAACTTTTAATTTCACTATTTCCATCAATTTTTCATTGAATCTCATCTCTCATGGAAACGTTTACTTATAATCTGTGTACATGGACATGGACTGTCACACTTTAAGGTGATGATAAAATAATAAATATAAATAAATGAATAAAACAGTGTCAGGTTTCTGTTAATTCTTAGACCTACTTGAGGAAATATTCTAAAAAAGAAAACATAAAAAAGACGCTTGATGTCGAGTGCAATAAACTGTGTTGTGCTGTTGTACTGTATGTGAAAAAGACAACAAAAACAAACATAACTGCTTTTGTTGGTTTTATTGGTTTTATGTACATTTAGCTTTGAACTATTGATTTGTGCAGCAGAGTTGTGTTACACAGCAACACAACACGATCACACAGTATGACAGGACACTGAGCACCAATCAGATTTCAAGTTAAGACTTTCAGCTTTAAATGAAGAGTATGTCCAGATCAAAAGACAGAAAATATGAGAAAGGTTTTGCATTATTTTTGTTTAATTATATTGTTTTTTTTTAAATAAAAGAATATGAAGAAGGAAATACATTTTTGATAAAATGACCATTGTTTCTGAGTGAGTTTATGTCACCAAAGAAGATGAAGACGAAAGGAAAGCATTTGAAATTTAAGGACTGAGGAGTCTATTTTATTATTTTTTATTTAAAATCCTGAGAATAGTCATGTCAAAATTGTAAGATTCAAATTAAAAGATTTTTATTCTCAGTATTGAGATTAATTTAGAAAACAATCATTAATCTCATTTGTTTTGCTATTTGGTAGTACATTATTATTATTTGTTGTTTTGAACTATACATTTGTATAAATCATTGCCTCTGCAGCCACATTAATGATTGTGAATGACGTGATGGTAAAAGCTTTCACCTTTAGTGTTCCACATGGTGCGACACAGACGAGGAAGCTCTGAGAGTTTAATGATGCTTGTAATAAAAACAGTTTCCAGTGCATCTTTAAGCAGAGAGGCTCATCTGGTAATCTCTGGCCACTTGTTTCTGTCATTGCTTCGTCATCGTTTCCCACATGACACTCATGTCAAATTGTCCTATGGGAACATGCCTTGTGTGTGTGTATGTGTGTGTGTGTGTGTGTGTGTGTGCTGGGGGGTATTCATGGTGTGTGTAGTGGGCTTACAGAGGTTAAGGGGAGCTAATTTCACGGCTTTTTATTGGCGCTGGTCTCAGGAGAGGAGCTCTCTGTAAGCAATATCACTTCCAGCTGGTTTAAATAGGACAGATGGGACAGGACCACCACCTCCAGTAGGGCTCTGCTGTCTGGTGTCCACAACACACACACACACACACACACACACCCACACGTACACACATGTGTGTATATATAGATATAGATATAGATATTTATATTTATACACAAATTATTTATATATAAATATGAACTGGACAGAGTTTGAAACCAAAACAACCTTCAAGTGCCACACATTCATGGGAACTTGTGCAGCGGTGTTGGCACAAACCTTACAAACAGCATTTGATTACCATTGTAGAAACAACACCATAAGTGTGTTCTGCTGCTAAGAGAGTCAAACACTTGGGAGGATTTAAAATTCCATGATTCATTAATTCATTTTATTATTTCTATTTTTTTTATTATTTGTTTCTTCTATGCTTTAATTTCTGAGTATGCTGAGACATTAACATCGAGGTGTATAGTGTTAGTATTGTACTGAAACACAGACTGTGAGCCAGGCCTTCTCGGCCTACAGGTTTAATTCACAAAGCCTTCAGACCCTCTGTTGTTTCACATGTTGTTATGTTGCAGGCTCATGATAAAATAAAAAATGAAATTTTCTCTTCATTAATCTACACTCAATCCCCATAATGACAAAGTGAAAACAGAATTTTAGAATGTTTTGCAAATTACCAAAAAGGAGAAACTGAAATATCAGGTTGACATAGTATTCAGACACTTTACTATGACTCCTCCATTCCTCTGGATCATTTCTGAGATGTTTCTACACCTTGACCAGAGTCTACCTGTGGTAAACTCAGCTGATTGGACACCCACCTGTCTATATAAAAATCTCACAGCTGACAATGCGGATCAGACCAAAAACCATGAGGAGGAAGGAACTGCTGCAGAGTGAGGTGTAGAAACATATAAAAGATGATCAAGAGAAATTGAGATTTTTTGATTTTGGTTTTAGCTCCAACAAACCAAGATGTGAGAAGATTGAATGGGTCTGAACACTTTCTGATTGCACTGTACCATCGTTCAACCTCAAGCTCTTGGCTGGACAACACAGGCTTGATGAGATGACTTTTCTTATTATTCACCTTCCTTATTGCTGAGACACAAGTGACATGAAATCATTAAATGACTCAGATATTCACTTTCTGGTTTTGTTATAGCAGTTCCTCCTAGCTCACTGTTATCACTTTGCTCTATGCATCTACAGTGCATGGACAGACAAATGGATGTGGAAGGACTGCAGACTAACATAGCTCTTGTCAAAACATATCTGATGAGTGTCAAACCAGTTTAAATGTTACAGTGAATGAGGTGAATATTGTGTATATGGCCTGATATTGGGGCAAATAACCCTAAGTCTGAGTGAGCTAGCTGCTAACTGATGGCTGCAGTCCTGATGCCTCACAGAAGTGTTTACTGATCTGCTCATACTTACTTAGTTGTGTTTTAGGTTGGGCAGATAGATCCATGTGGTTAATGTTTGTTGTCATTAGACATGAACCCAGTCTTTTCAGGCTACACACATCCATTCTTTCACTTTTCACTCCTCTATTAGAACAATACAGTATCGATTGATTGATTGATCGATTGATTGAACAATACACTTTGGAATTGTCTTGGTTGTATTGAGAAGGCGTCAGTCAGCAGATTGTGTTGAGACTTACGGTCCATCCTCAGGTCTGAATGTCAACATGACACATCAGATATCTCATGTCACAACGCCATGAAATTTGCTTTGTACACTAATTCTTCCAAGTGAATGAGCCACTTTGATGTTGATGACGCTCTTTCCCAGTAGTCCTTGAGACTTTTTATCCAGATGTTTTTGTATTGTTTTTTCTCTGCAGGTGCACCAGCGTTCAGCAGAGCGTCTTCTAGATTTGTGCTGTGCCAACCGTGGTACTTTTATCAAGGTGGGCCAGCACTTGGGTGCTCTGGACTACCTGTTGCCTGAGGAGTACACATCCACACTGAAGGTGCTCCACAGCCGAGCTCCTCAGAGCTGCATGGAGGAGATCCAGCAGGTCATCAGAGAAGACCTTGGCAAGGAGGTACTGAAATTCTAAATAGACTGAATCGCTGTCTTAGTTTCAACAGGTCTGTTAGTATTCAGGCGGGCACGACCCAAAAAAATAATGAATAAAAATAACATTATATTAAAGTCATTATCTAGCTAAAGGAATCTCTGCCTGCTGCTGCTGGGGATTAAAATAATACGATTTTCATGATAGATTTTACATTAACTGTTCTACATGTTCAGTATCTGGTCAGTCTGTCAGTGTTAGAGAAACAGAGAAGGTCCCCAGTCAGTGTGAAGGTCCCTTAGGATGTTTCTTCTGATATCAGCAGGATTCATCCCCTATAGTGACAACAGCAGCGGACCCCTCCCACAATAGGGGTGGGGTGGGTGGGGTGGTATCACTAAAGTAGACATTCATTACTTACCAAGTCCTAATGCTGTGATCTTAAACATCATCACTTTTTGTGTTCTCTTTGCCTTTTAGTGCGAATAAGTGACTGCTGCATTGTGTCTGTGGTAAAAGTGTGGAAAAACTTTTTCTTCATAAAATTCTTCATCTCAGTTCTTTCCTGATTTAAATAGTTAATTCAATATCGATGGTGTTGTTGAGGGAAAAAATAGCTTCTAAATCTTCTCAGCTCAGTTGAACAATCAAAGTAACTGTCCAAGCACTAATGGGTGATTGATGCATAGTTAAGACAAAACACATTCTTTCTGTTTTGTATTTATTTCGGTTCATAGTTTGATGGTTTGATTTGTGGCAGACTCAGGTTGCTGCCTGACTCTCTCGCTGAAGGTAAGAACATGTGCTCGTCCCTCATATGTGCTTTGCAGGAAGCAGAAAAAGGGCAAATAAAGCAGAAGTGGATATGTCTGACATTTTGTCCTCATTTCATTTCATAACCAAGAGGTCCTCCTGATGTAGCTGTTAATGCTGCTGTTAGTGCAGAGTGCAGAGTTTGCTCTCAAACTAGTTGTTATGACAGCCTTTTAGGGCCCGCTGGAGGCAAGGCAATTGTTCTGTTATTCTCAGATACAGTACATTGGTCTTCTCCCTCTACCGCACACTCCCCAGTGTTGTGTTCTGTCTTTCTGTGTGTGTTAAAGAAATGACTTTGGTGTACTGAGTCGAGTATATTACATCAGCAAATCGAGGAACAGTGAACATGTTGCTCCAAATGACACAGACCCAGTCTGGACCGTTTCATCAATGTTAGACAACATGTGTGTCTAGTAGTATGATGCTCTAAAATACACCATGGAACGAAATACATTGTCAACCATAAGGAGTTATGCCGCACCCTCTATATCTGGGTGTGTTGAATGTTGTGGGTAGTGTTGAAAATCAATGATTTTGATGTAGAGATATTGTTTAGTGGCTGCAATTTTTATATGATGGCACAAGAATGTATGTCTATCTGTGTGTGACTGAAGAGAAGATACTGATCAAAGTGGCCAGATAGCAACAAACATATCATAACATGACCTCTAAATGTTTTCTCATGAACCCTATAAGGCTGAACATCTTTCCCAATAAGAAAAACATGTATGGGCAGTTGACCAGTTTTATTTTGATGTTCCTTGTTATTCCCTGGTCTCATTTGAAACAGTGTAAACAAAGAATATATTGCACATAGGACATTTGAGTATTTCCCTGGAGCTCTTAGAGTTAGCCCTAGAGAGTTATCACAGACTGGTCAATAGGCTTTCACACTACACTGGTTTAAAATGTTATCAGTGTCAATACAGTAATTTTCACATCAGCCACGGAGTTTAGATTGACAACTTCTGGACATTGTCATTGCCATTTCTGCAAATTAGCAAAGCAAAAAGGAAATCATTTTTACTAGATATGGGGTGCTTTTCCATATTGACTAAATGAAATCTAGATGAACTGTAATAATTCATGATTTAATAATGAAATCATTTTTACACATCCATATAGTCTGCGTATGTAAAATGATCATTTTAAGTCCCAAGACTATAGTGTGGAAGTGCCTGTGTAATATTAGTAGTAATACTGAGACAAGAGTTAGACTGACTGTGTCATGTCAGTGTCACTTTAATTCTCCACTATCAGTTTGGAATCATAGCCTCTGAGTCTGATTGTTGAATTCTCAGCCTCTGATTGGCTACATGTTCAGCTCTCACTGAGCAATAAGAGTTGTTTTTTTCTGTAGATAAAAATACATAACATTAACTGACAATAACTGATATGTATAATAGCTAGTTACACTTGATTTGCCAGACGTGTTAAATGTTACACTGTCATTTTCCAATAAACACAGGACCAGCAATCAAGAAGAAAACTGATCATCACACTGCATCATTCATCAAATGTGACATTTCCATCAGTGACAGGCAGCACTGATATTAAACTGCACAGAAGTCGTATAAACCTGGTGTTATTCCCATGAAGAGACTCAAACCAATAGTTGTTAACAGCATCAATTAATAGTTTGTTTGCATCTCACCATGGAATTTGCTGATGATGAGAGAAATATAGAGAAATATATTAACTTCTTCCTTTAAGAGAGAGAACAGCAGTTGAACCTTGGCAGTGAACTATTGCAAAGAAATAGCAAATAGGTTCATGTGACCAGCAAGCAGCTTCAGTATTATCCAGACTGTAACTGGAGCAGATCATTACAATGATTATAAAGATAGAAAAACACATCCTGAAATTATTTGGAAAAATTCTTGGGGAAAAAGTTGTGCAGTAATGGAAGGCATTCGTCATTTGAAAGGTCTAATAAGATGAATATTAGCTGCTGATTGAACTACCATAGAATTTTCTCTTCTTTCTCAGTCATGTTTTTAAATTAAGATGTGCATAAGGTTTGACTTCTGCCTGTATCTGTGTGGGGCGTCATTCTCTCTGAAGATGATGCTAATGTAGCTCGTCTGTCAACAAAGCAGGCAGCAGAATGAATCAGGCCTCCTCCCTTCTGGAGTGGCAGGAGAAGAAGGGACACTGATGAGCAGAGCCAGCAGCTTTGGAGTGAAGGAAGCAATCTCGGCGTCATTTCCATCCGACTACCCATGCTTCTTTTTTAACACGTATCTGCAGTCTCATATCTGTTGGATACTCTCACACACACGAGCAGCCAGTAGAGAGTGGTGTGTGGTGCCATACTGTTTTCAGCACCATTTGTGGTGACATATGCATTCCCACTGAGCATGGATTTGGAAAGCCTTGCCTTCATTCTGGCTGTCATTTCCCCTCTATAGTGAAAATGCAGAAAGGCCAGCATGTGCAATATGTTGTTTTACCAAACAGAATCTGTTTCCAGGCTGAATGTTACACTTCGTTGGTGATGAGGCAGAACAAAACAAAACATGAGTGCATCATGTAGGCAGTGTGGCATGAGTGTCTGTGGACACTGAGATTCAGGAAATGGCTTCTCAAAAGCACACTGAATGCCATTTCTTACATAGTTTGTCATGGATGGTGACATATTATACCACAGGATGGATGGATGTGTGAAGGATCTGATGGAAAACATGTCATCACACCATTCTGTGCCAATGACACAGTATCAGAGTTTCATGCTCAGATGATGATAAAAAAGTTTCACACAAAATATAATTTTTGCTTTTTGCTAATTTGTTCATTTGGAATTCCATGTAAAGCTGCAGCCTTGCTTTGTGTAAAAGAAAATTTTGAGTGAACTTCATCTCTCTTGATTTCCACAGTTGTCAGCGTCAGAGCATCATCATATACAAAGAGAAGAAATGACTAAATATTAAATGCAGCCCTTATTATATAATGATAATAATAATAATAATAATAATAATAATAATACATTTTTACCTGTAGAGCATCTTTCAAGATACTCAAACATGCTTTATTTAACATTAAGAAAGATCTGAAGGCACAAGATTGCACAGTACATTAAATCAAACATTAAAAACCTTGAACAGAGCCAGATTGCTGGAGTCAAGGATTTGGAGAGAGAGTCTGAACACAAGCTAATAAAAACCAAGCAAAGCAAACAAGAAAACAACAAACAAGGGTGGGGGTAATGGAGGAATTACTGTACCTGTACTAGAGCTCACATGGTGCTCACATGGTGCATAAACATGCATTTACATCTTGTTAAAGGCACAAGTTATTTTTGGAGCCAAAGTGCAGAACACAGACAGGAAACAGTTGAGTTTTTTTTTTTTTTGTAAAAAAAAAAAAAGTCAGAGGCTGAGTTGGTGAAGGTAAGGGACTAAAAGCAGAGTTGAAACAGGTGGAGCGAGGCAGGAATACAGGAAAACAACAATCCAAACCAGACGAGATAGATAGATAGATAGATAGATAGATAGATAGATAGATAGATAGATAGATAGATAGATAGATAGATAGATACATACATTCATACTTTATTTATCCCCTAAGGGAATTTCATGTGTCCATTAGGTCATTGTTGATAATAATAATAATGATAATAAAAACAGTTAATAATAAATAAACAATAATAATTAGATTAGTCCACTTCCTTTGGCTGAAGTGTTGTATAGCCTGATAGCAGTGGGAACAAAGGATCTCCTGAACCTCTCTGTTCTGCAGCGCAGTGAGATGAGACATTGCTTCACCTGTAGCTGCTTCTCTGTCCTGCCAGAATATTGTGGAGAGGGTGGTTGGTATTGTCCAAGATGGCCTCCATCTTAAATTGCATGCATCTCTCCACAACAGTCCTGAGTGAGTCCAGACTCCTGCCAAGCACAGACCCAGTCTTTTTTACCAGCTTGTCCAGTCTCTTTGTGTTCATGTCTGACATGCTGCTGCCCCAGCAGACTGCAGCATAAAAGAGTACACTGTCCACCACTGACTGATAAAACATGTGCAGCATTTCACTGCAGACGTCAAAGGACCTGAGCCTCCTGAGGAAAAAAGGGCCGGCTCTGCCCCTTCAGGTAGATGGCATACTTAATAAAGTATGATCAAATATACTGTAAAACAGTGTATACTTCTTTAGTACAAGCCTGTCTAAAGTAAAGGCCTAGTTCCCACTGCACAGATCTCTCCTTTTTTACCAGACC